TGTTCCTTCAATTTTTGGAAGGCCGCCTCTGCATCCACCCCCCATTCAAACATAGTCTTCTTCTTAATTGCTTGGAAGAAATAGAGGCACTTGTCGCCTGACCGACTAAGGAATCTCCCCAATGCCGCTAGACAGCCTGTTAATTTTTGAACTTCTTTTACAGTACGGGGCGACTGAATGTCTATGATCGCCTGTATTTTTTTTCGGGTTGGCCTCTATCCCCCTTTGATCAATTAGAAATCCGAGGAACTTCCCAAAATCAACACCAAAAACACATTTCTTGGGATTGAGCATGACCTGGTGCCGCCTGAGTGTGGCGAATGTTTCTCGGAGGTATGTAAGATGGTTCGTTTGAAGTTTGGATTTGACTATCATATCATCATTGTACGCTTCCACATTCCTTCCAATTTGATTAATGAAGACTGTATTAATCATTCTCTAGAAGGTAGCAAGCGCATTCTTCAAACCAAACGACATCACAATATAGCAGAATGACCCCTGATCAGTGACGAATGCCGTCTTTTCTTGATCTTTCTTCCACAAGGGTATCTGGTAAAAGCCTGAATAGGCATCCATGAAGCTCATCAAGGCATGGCCGGCTGTAGAGTCGACCAGACTGTCGATCTTTGGGAGAGGATAGCAATCCTTCGGACATGCCTTGTTCAAGTCTGCGTAGTCAACACACATGCGCCAGGTTCCATTCGGCTTCTTTACAAGCACAACATTGGCAACCCAATCAGGGAAATAACATTGCCGAATGAACCCAGTGTCTAATAATTTTTTCACCACAGCGGCTGCCGCCTGGCTTTTTTCCTCACCATGGTTCCTCTTCTTTTGCCTTACCGGCTTCTTTTTAGGATCCACAGCAAGCTTGTGGACGGCTAGATTCGGGCTGATGCTTGGCATCTAGTCCACCTTAAAGGCAAAGATGTCTTTGAATTCTTTTAACAAGTTGTGCAATTTTTCACCAAGCTTAGCAATAGTAGTCGTCCCCACCTTGACAGTTCGTTCAGGACGAGAGTCATCCAAAACGAGGTTCATGTGCTCACCAGCCGGCTGGGGACGGAGTTCATCCGGCCTTTCACCGGTCAATAATTGCAATTGCCTGTCTTTTTTCTCGACCACCATTTGGTTGGCCTTTCTCTTCTTGTCGGCTGGTGTTGCAGCAGGCGCGACTTCCTTGACTTGGTCAAGGTCAGTAGTTTCTCCACTAGGGCTGGCTGCGACCACAGTGGGCTTGACATCAGAGAAGTAACACTCCCTGGCCATCTTCTAGTCTCCCCGTAAGGAGCCGACTGTTCCATCATCCCTCTTAAACTTGAGGAGCATAAGAGAAGGAATGATAACAGCCATGGATTCATTCAGGGTGGGACGCCCCAAAATCATGTCATAGGCCGTCAGCTCTTTAACAACTAAGAACCGGACCACCATGTAGCGTCCCTCCCTTTTTTCGCCCAGACGAATGGGTAAGTCTATTCGACCTACCGGATGTACAACACCTCCCCCAAATCCCACTAAAGGATGAGAGACCGGGTGCACACTCTCGGGCTTGTACCTGAGCTTGGCCAGGCACTTGTGACTGATGAGGTTAGACGAACTCCCAGTGTCAATGAGGATCCGGCCAACTCTTTGGTTGGCCACTTTGCATTCGATGACAACAGGGTCATCATGCAGCCTCCTGATTTTGCCCTTGTCATCCTCAGTAATAACGACTTCGGGGGAAGGAGTCCTTGGACGCTTGTCCCTCGTCGACTGAGTTAACATCGATCCGCCTGACATAGTCTTTATTCCCCCGGATGGTAGGGCCGCCTCCAGCGAAGCCGCCTGCTATTGTATAGATCGGAGTTTCATCAGTATTCGAACTATTAGCAGAGTGGGGTTTCTTTTTGGACGGCTGCCCAGTGTTAGTTTGTAGGGTAACTTTGGATCTCTGAACGTAGGAATTGAGTACCCCTTTGTTAGCCAGACGGTCCAACAGACGCTTGAGGCTATAACATTTGTTGGTGTCGTGGCCAATATCCTCATGGTAGTGGCAATATTTGTTTTTATTCCAATTTTTGGTGGAACCTTTCATAGGGGTCGGCTTCTCAATGGTGACCCGATCCTTAATCTCCATGAGGATGGAGTAACCTTCTTTATTGAAATCGTATTTCGAGGAGTACGTTTTTGCTTCTTTCTTTTTCTTCTGGGATGGCTGTTTAGTAGTATCAACCACCCAGACTTCTTTTCTTTTCTTTTCTTCTTTCTTAGCCGGCTGTGATGACCGACTCTCTCTCTTGTCAAACCTCTTTGAGTCCGGCTGCTTACTGATGTTACAGAGCTCGGTCGCCTGTATATAGGCGTCCACCTCCATCATTGCCTCTTGGAGGGTAGCTACCCTCTTTCTGACAAGGTCGAACTTGAAGGCCGACCCGTCCTTCAGACTTTTGAAAAAGTCTGTGTAGGCTGCCTCATCAGACAGTCCTTGAATATGAATTCTCATCAGATTGAACCGCCTGATATATGAGCGTAGCCCCTCCTTCTTTCCTTGCTGTATGGCTCCCAAGTCAAGACTTGTTTTCTTTGCAGGGATATTCATTGAGAAGTTTGACGCGAATAAGTATGCAAGCGTCTTAAAGTTATTTATGCACCCGGCTGACAGATTGTCAAACCATTGTTGCGCGACGCCCTTCAATGTGGCCGGGAAGCATCTATACCATGCCGCATCATCCAACCCTTGAAGATACATAAGGTTGGTGTATGCCATGAGGTGGTCTTCTGGATTGGTGGAACCATCATAAGTACCTACCAACACATTTTTTACCTTGGACCGGCTGTGCGGCCTCAGTTATTTCCTTGGAGAAAGCTGAAGGCTGTTCCCCAAGTCTTAGCAATTGGAGCTGCCAGTCCAAAGGTTGGACGTTTTGTGCTGCTTGCCCCCCAAAGAGGGTAGGCTGCATATATGGTTGTCCATACGGCATGTATGGCTGTTGATGCACATACGGGGACGTCTGTCTGGTCCTCTCGGTTTGATTGAGAATACCTCAATGAGGTATTCTGAAAACTGTCATTGAAGTTCGATGTTGAGGTCGACTCTGACAGTTGCATATTCTTCCTTTGTTGGATTAACATCCGAGCATCGGAATATGTTTTCTTGGAACCGTCCGGCTGAACATGCTGGATGGCCTTCCTCTCCCCGGCTCAGGGAACCGGAACTTTGTTAAGTCAATCCTCTCCCTTGGTTTAGGGTTAGGAGTTGCCTCTCAATCCTTGATCGGTTTGTTCCTTCCAGACTGGGAGGGATTTTTGGCCGACTGTTCTTTGTTGGAAACAGCCGTCCGTTTATCAATTAGATCCTTTATCTCCCCTTTAAAACTTGTCATGAGAGTCTTGAGCTCGTTTCTAGTGATGGGGGTGGATCCTTCGGCCACCTGGAGCTGACCAGCCGGCTGGCCGACTGTTACACTAGGGCCCGCCTGGTCGGTGTTCCGTTCCCTCCTTTCGGTGGGGCGGATACACCGAGTTCTAAGGGACCCGTCAGGGGCCGTATGAGTATCGACTTCGTAGTCGACGTCGGTGTCCTGGTCTGAGTAGACTTGGACGTCAGCCATAGGCCGTTTCTCATTTGGAGGTGGTACAGGTTGTGAAGCCATCTCGAAAGTACTCTCCCCACAGACGGCGCCAAATGTTTCGGGGTTTTTTGATGTCCTGCGGGAGAGTTACAATTCCGGGACTAGTTTCTGGACACTTGTACCTGCAAAACAACGGAGACTCTGGTTGGGTGGAGTTCCGCCTCCGGTGATCAAGTTAGAGCGTGTTTGAGGAGTAAAGAACGAAAAGTAAAAAGTCTTTCTTGGATTCCAAGATAGTATCTGCAAGGTGTAATTGCTCAGTTCGAGGTGTCAGGTGTCTGACTTTCTCTCAATGTATTTATGAATGAAATTAATTGTGTGTTCCCGGGGGGGGGGGGGGGGGGAACATCTCCCTTTTATAGGGTGTTGCAAAACGTACCCAGTACTAGGTTTTAGTAAACCTAGGACTGACTGGACTTTGCCTAGGAATTTAGGCCGTTAGAGGCCCGCTTCCTAGTTGGCTATCTGCCTGCCACGTATCGTGTCCTGATTGGTCCACCTTGGACCTCTGACGAGGTGACATGTGGCATACTCTGGTTGGTCCACGTGGCGGGAGAAAATCCCCTAATCACTTTCATTTTCTCGTTGATCCTCTGTCGCCTTCTCTGTCCACAATGAAATTATCAAATACCAAAATACCAATGTAAGTAGATCTCAAATTAGCATGCATAAATCGAACTCGTAAAAATAACAACTAAATCCAGAAAGAGTTATTAGTGTAATCAAACTAACATTTTCTAACCTTTTCGGACATGTTATGAATTTCGGTAGCTCTGCTACGTTTCGATGAACTCTTAGCTGAAGCTGACTTCGAACGAGTTTCTTCCTGATCAATAAAACAGTTAACTACTCCCTAAAAATAAAAATAAATAAATAATAAATAAAATTAAAATAGATCAACCTCGCTTTGGCAATCTTCATGATCGATCCCCTCCATTGAGAGGGCAGAACAACGTCTTTGAAATCTTCAGTCCTATCCCTAATCTTTGCCATTATTGGATCATACAAGAAATTGCAATTGAACTTGCTAAATTTTAGAACCTAAATTCGAAAAAAATTAAGTGAAATCTAGGGTTTATATTTACACAAAAATCTACTGAAATTGAAGAACAAAATAACAAATCCAAACAATGTATAGACGAAAACAATGTTTTCGAACATATAATGCACATAAGCAATACATATCTAACCAAATCGAAGGAATATGTACCTGAATTTGAAATTGCAAAATCTAGGGCTTTATCGCCAATATTTGTACTTTTATTGAACAATTTGACTTGTTTTATGATCCTTGATGTTGAATTTATGCAAAACAAATAAAGGACAAATGTTGAAAATCTTCAAATTGCAGCTTTTATGGAGATTTTTGGGAGTTTGAGGAGAGAGAAAGTCATGAACTATTACGATAATCGAAGAGAGAGAAAGTTAGGGTTTGTGTTTTTTTTTTTTTTTTTTTTTAGGAAAGATGGTTTCTATTTTGTTATAATGCTGACTGCTCATCCCAATCTAATCCTACGGTTGAGATTAGTTTTTATATAACTAGGGTTCTTATATAAGGATGAGTTCTTACCAGATCCTTCCTCTATATAACCGAGTTACGGTGAGAACTAGCCGAATAATAGAACTAAGAACTAATTTAGACCGTTAGATCTAACACAAATAGGCGCGCGATCAACGGTCCAGATTGAATCACGCATATTCAGTTCATTGCCCAAAATCATGCGGACTTTCTCTCTCCTCAGGCATTTTCTCTCTCCTCCATTACAACGAGCCTCTGAATTCTCCATTAAAGCGGTCTCCGTGCTTTCTCTACTCCATTGAAGCGACTTTCGAGCTTTCACTACTCCATTGAAGCGGCATCTAAGCTTTCTATATTCCATGGAAGTAGTTTTTGAGGTAAGGATTTTTTTTTGTTAATCACCGATTTTAATTTCACTATCTTGGTTCATCGTTAATTTTATATTCTGTATAGTCAATTTAGGGTTCTTAATTGCGAAAATCGAATTCTTATATATAATTTTTGAGGTTAAATTGCGAATGATTATAGTGATTGATTTTGTTGCTAGAAATCCTAAAATACCTAGATCGTAAAATACCGACATTGAAATTTATGTGAATGTTGATGAGTTTGCGAACAAATCTATGTGAATTGAGTGAATTCTTATGGTAATTTTATGACGATTGAATCTTTATGATTTTTTGAATATAGTTTTTGGCTTATATTTTTGCATAAATTTTGAGCTTCTACTCTAAACACAAATAGTTAGTACTCAATATTATGGTAAAACTGAAAGGAGAGGGTTCTTTTGTTTGTGGAACATTGGTAATTATTTGCATGCTTTAAGATGATTTGAATATTTCTCAGATGTATAATTTTTTTGAAACAGGTTAAAAGTGTTAAAGTATTGACAGAACTTGGTTTCAAGACTGAAGTTACGCTTGATGATGTATTGGCAATGCTTCGAACTTGGAGAACGTTGGAGTCTACATTCACAGCTGGGTATTAATCTATTGCAGAGCTAGTCACTTTTCTGCCTATTCTTGATCATTGGTTGATAAAAAGCTGCTCATTTCTTTGTTCTTAATCTTAATTGCTGATTTGTTGATTTAGAAATTCATTGTAATCTAGCCCCTGCATATTTTACAAAAACTTAAGCAGTCATTCAAATCAATGTGACGTTGTGGCTTTGTAAGAAAGATTGAACAACCTAGTACAATTTTACCATCTAAAGAAGTTATAAAGCTAAATCTTATATTACTTGCTGCTTACAAACTATGCTATTATTGAACTAACAATGTCTCCTATGAGTATTATTTTATCAATTTCAAAAGTAGATAGAAACCAAATAAAAGTAAACTAATTACATTATAAAGTAAATCAAAAAACTGAACCTATGATTTAGAATATGAGCAATCAGAAGTTGTAGCTTATGCTCTCTTATCAGATTAGAAAATATATGGGTGTAGAAATGATATATATTGGCCATTAGCAAGGGCATATATGGTTCCATTGAAATCTTGTGGTGGTAGGAACGTGGAAGTGCTGATGCTCTAAGGGAAATGCTCAATGACCCAAATTCCTATTTGGACTGTGACATGGGAAACATTATCAGGGACGTTGCTCATCTTCTCCAACGAAACTGGTCTGTTACTATTCTCCATGCTGGGAGGGCAGTCAACCATTTGGCTCACCAGCTAGCTGCTCTTGGAAGATGTCAACCTCAGGTAAGGATGTTCCATCTATGTCCTCCTAATGAGATGTTTGACACTTACACTGCTAAAATTCCAGATCTTGAAGCTGCTTGATCATGGCTTCTTTGCTGCTGTTCCTCGCCAAACTTTTTCTTCAACTGTCACCTTCACTCGGCATTTTGTCAGTAGCTTTATGTTTAGTTATTTCGTGCTTTCTTTGTCTTTCTGTAATCTTTTCTATTCTAAGAGTGATCTTACCACTTTATCCTCTTTTGCGTTAAAAAAAAAGAGTACGTGGAGATGAGAGTATGGATTGAGGAGGCTCGTCCTTGTGTAATGGATATTGTTATGCTAGCATTCCTTAATAAAGTATGCTGCTTTCTGTCAACAAAAAAAAAAGTTTTCATGACGAGAAATACATCCGTTGTCTCCAAAAGTAAATAAAAAAGAATATAAAGTGAATAAAAAGGACTTTAAAGTAAACCTATTAGCTCAAGTGGTAGAGCACTATGCGTATGCATAGAGGTGTAGGTTCGATTCCTACATAGGTTCTCTAGAAGTACATATAAAAACACCCTAAAGTTATTCAAAATAGCTTAAAAGTAAATCAAAATAACTAAACAGTAAATCACATTAGCTCTAAAGTATACGAACAATAAATAGTTTGAAATGATAAATGACTATGGAAACTTTGTTATATCACAAAAACTCGAATCATTGACTTTCATATCCTTACAAGATGAGTCATTTTATAAGAGCTCGATGTAGAGGTTTTCAAATTAAAAGTAAATAAAACTATATAAAAAGTAAACAAAAAAAAAAGAAGGAAATCTAATAAAAACATAAAACTAAACTTTATTACAATTCTAATCTTTATATTACACAAATGAACCTACGTGTGATTTGCCACATCTTTTGTGCAATTGCACAATGCTCTACGAATTGAGCTAGTATATATTTAACATTCGAAAAAAAAAAATATCAAAAGTAAATAAAAAAATATCAAAAGTAAATCAAAACGTCTATACAGTATACGTAGTAAACTCATGAGGGGTTAGAAACTCTATACCATATCAAGAAGCTCAAATAGATAGATTAATAGACCTATAAGATATTATTTCACCAAAAAGAAATTCAGAAATTACAATCTTGATTGCTCGTATATTCATTAAAGTAAGGCAACATAACTCAAAAGTAGACAAAATAACTCAAAATGTGATGAGCATGTTGCAGCAAAGCAGCCAACACAACTCGCCCAAACAACCAAAACACACCATTCTACTACCATCATCCGCAATGCCCAACAATTGCACACAAACACACACACGAGTGCACACATATATACTACTCATATATATATAGTATGTGTACAATCATTAGCAGCTATCTTGCTGATTACAACTTCGAAATGCCAAAGATAGAGAATGGCTGAGGAAAATCTAGCTTGTCAGAAAATGATTCAATAGAAATATGCAAAACAGCAAGCTAAAGAGCTTGAAAAACCACAAGTATGTATGTCATTCAATAATATCTGCAACTTTGAGCAAAGTATATGAGTTGAGGGTTAAGTAAAGGTTTCCAAATTAAAAGTTAATAAATCAATGTAAAAAGTAAATAATTTTATATTTTGGTAAAAAACTAATTATACATAGATATAGTTTCAACTAATAAATAAACCTACATGGGAATCGAACCCACATCCTTTGCGCATTTGCACAATGCTCTACCAATTGAGCTAGTAGGCTAGTAAATCTTATAAATTTGAAGTAAAATTAAATCAAAATACCTCAAAAGTAAATAAAAAAATGCTAAACAGTAAATTAAAACATCATTAAAGTAAATAAATAAAATTACTTTTGCTCATGCTTCTGCTGCTCCTCACAGGCTTCCAAGGTGCACAGGCTACACTCTTGCTCACCGCAGCAAGCCATGGCGGCAGGACAGCAGCTGCAGCAACAGCCTTGGCATGACTTATTTTCTACTATAAATCTCATATGTTTTCTGTCTGCTTCCAACAACAAATGACGGTGAAATTGATCCTTAGTGAAACCAGGTCTCGCAATGACAGCAGATTGGACAACCTTAAAATCAAACGTTTCATGAAAGATTACAATGCACTCAATAAACTTATTCAATTTCGAATCATTCAAGCAATAGCATATCCATGTTTACGAGGAATCAAGAACTCTACACAAGCACACATACACTTTAACTTATTAAAAGTATATGTCACATTCACTCTTGGATAAAAATAATAAATCAAACGAAAAAACAAAAAATCTCAAATCAAACAAAACAGATCGCAAATGGATAAAAAAATTCACAAAATCGCAAAAAGTATAATAAATAAAACGAATTACCTCAAACAATGACGAAAATCAAAGAATCACAGCAAAAAACTGATGAGCGAAGAAGAAAATCGCGATTTCGACACAAGAGAAACGAAAATACAGAGAGAGTTGAAGGTAGAGAGAGAAAGTGCAAGAAAGGAGAGAGAAACAAAAGAAATGCGAAAAGAACAGAAGGAAGGTCATTCAACAAAGAAACTACCAAAATACCCTTAATGAGGTTGGTGAGATGTAGACCATCAGATCTAACGCGATAGACAGCTCAGATTAGTTCTCAATTCCTATTATTCGAGCTAGTTTGCACAGGATCTCATTTAAAAATGTGGGCCGCTAAACGTCGCCCTCGAATTTCTAACTAACGCCTACAAAATAACCTGAAATGACGTACGTAGCCTTGTTGTAAAAATATTATATATTTTTACCTAAACTTAACACTTTTACCCTACATAAATTTTTTTACCGTTCTCTCTAGTGTTCACCGGCCACCAACGATCACGTTGAACCACCAACCACTGTAATTTTCAAAATCAAACAAATAATTTAAATTTTGCAAAACCTAATTCATTGGATCCCATGGAAGACAACGAAAGGCCGGAAACACCACCTACGTTGGTCGCCGGAGTCTCGTCGGGCCGTACGTAATCTGTACGATTATTTAATTTTTTTTTTGTTTTCGAATTCCGATTATTTAATTTTTTATTTTCGAAATTTCCAGGCAAACGCCTAGAAATTTCGAAAAACCTAGGATATTTCGAAAAAACTAGGCATTTCTGCCTAGGTTTTCGAAATTTCTGGGCGTTTGCCTGGAAATTTCGAATTTATTTTCTATCAATTTTGAAATTTAATTCTTAAAAAAACACGTTAACGACTGATATTTTCTATCAATTCCGATTATTTAATTGTTTTACTTTGAAAGATGACCAAGTACAGTACTAGTAATCACTTGTCAATATTATCAGAGTAGTTAACACTTCAACCTCATTTGAAAGATCGATTATAATAGATGAATTGTTCATAAGTGAATTGTCATATCATTTGTAACTTTACAGTTTTTGTCTCATTAATTAGAAAAGATGAATGGTTCATAAGTGAATTGTCATATCATTTGTAAAGTATGTTGTTTGTATTTGGATAAATTGCTTTTATAAGGCATCGAATTTGTTTAGGAGGGTCGTATTGTTCTATCAATCTTAATATGTTATTGTTTGTATTGTTCATAAGCATGTTGTTCAAAAAATTATAGTTATATACTACGAATTTGTTTAGGAGGGTCGTTTTGAATTACTCTACTTAATTAATTTCTCTAGTTATAAAATTCTCACTCGTTTATAAGTGAGTGATCACACCTTTTAGTTGTTATTATAATTAGTTGTGTATTGTTAGAATTATTATTATTATTATTATTATTATTATTATTATTATTATTATTATTATTATTAGTTGTACATTGTTAGATTATTATTATTAGTTGTGTTTTTGTTGTTTCTCAACTTTTATTAATATTTGTTTTTATTGTTATTATTATTATATAGGATTCTGAGTCCGAGGATGGTGATGGTGCGGACTATAGCGGAAATTTTGTGATAGACACTGTGTTTCCGAGTTATGAGGATGCTGTTCTGTGGGCACAAAATGTTTGTCGCCCCCTCGGATTTATGTTAGTGAAGGCTTCTTACAAGACCGATCGGAGTGGTCGGCCGTATCGATATGTGAGTTGTGATCATGGAAAAAAGAGCATGATAAGAGACATGATGAACACGATACGCAAAGACACGCAAATCAAGGCAAACAGTTTTCCCTTCAAACTCAAGGTTAAGTATGTCAGAGTAGTAAGTGGTTGAAAGCTCAGTTGCTTGAATGACACTCAAAATCATTCTTTGGCTGTGTATCCCGAGGGACATCGACAAATCAGCGATCTTAGTCTTGCTGCTAAGCAGGTAGTACATGATATGACTCAGGCACAGGTGCCATCTCGGCATATCATGAGAACTCTTGTAGAAAAGTTTCCCGGAGACCATCCAAACATCAGACATGTCTACAACTGCAGAAGTAATATCAGAATGGAGCGATTCGAGGGAAGAGAGGTGGCTCACCAGGTGCTTCATTTGGCCAGAGAAAATACCTCACTTGGGTTATGACTGATACCAACAATGTGTTGCAACATTTTTCCATGGCACACCCGATCATGACATATTTGCTACGCACATACTCGTACGTGATAGGTATGGATTCCACTTACAAGACGAACCGATACGGCATGCCATTCTTTGAGATTGTTGGGGTTACACCGACAAATCAGAACTTTCTTGTTGCATACGCATTCATGAGGTCGGAGTCTGAAGAAAGTTATCGGTGGGTGCTTCAGTGATTGAGGTTGTTGATCGGTCATCATAGAGAGCCATCGGTACTACTAACAAATAGGGAGCTTGGCCTTTGTGCAGCGTTGAAGAGCGTAATTCCAAACACAAGACACATGTTGTGTGTGTGGCATATTAACAAAGATGTTGAGGCGAAGGTTACTTTCATGTTTGAAAAAAAGAAGGAGATTGGTGCCAAGGTCAAAAATGGGAGGTGGAGGCATGTGATTAATGCTACATCTGAAAAGGCGTATGAAAGAGAGCTTGTAGAGCTGAAAACCAAGTGGAGTCGATGGCCGAAAGTGATTGACTATGTTGTGGACCTTGGCTCATACACAAGGAGAAGTTGTGATGTTTTGGACAAACCAGGTACTGCACTTCGGCAATGTTAACAACTGCAGGGTTGAGATCCAGCATTCGGCATTGAAATGTTTGATTGACAGTTCTACAGGTTCTTTAGACACAGTTTAATTAGGCTCAGGTGCACTGATCGATTGAGAACTAGATCATAGCCACCATTCGTAATGGGGTGGAGGCATGTAGAGCAACTCATGGTCAAAAGTACAAGCAGAAGCCTTTGCATCAGCTGAACGGAAAGGTATCCCACTATTGTCTGTCTATTTTTCTCGGTGAGACGAACAGAATGCGAGTGTTGAGTACGGATGTCCATCGACGTTGTGGGTGTGCTCTACGTACTACCCACGGGTTACCTTGTGCGTGCCAAAGATATGACTCGATTACTGCAGGAAAGGGGTTGTATATGAAGAACATTCATCCATATTGGAGGACCCTTGTCATTGGAGCGGGTGTTGACATTCATGATATAGTTGATGAAAATGATGAGGATCGAGCTCATTTCTGCACCCTTGTTGATCGGGTTATTTCCAGCGACCTTGTGATGCTTAGGCACGTGTCTCGAGTGATTGAGGGTGAGATGGATCCTAACAACGATGACCTTCAGGAGCCTCGAGTCAACCCTTGAGTAAGGGGATGACCTCCCGAGAGAAGGAACGTGCGAGATCATTCGTTTTTCGAGCATATTCAATGTAATGGGCGAGATAATCGATCCAGAAGTGGACCACCCCCATCTGATACAGGTGATTATCGATATAATTAAATAATGTTTTTATACATCGTATATTTTAATTTATTTTGTGTAATAACTTAAAACTTGGCTTATATTATGTTTTTTATTTTGTAGGTGTCGGGTTTGACATACGACAATGCAGATACATCTACGCGATTCCCAACATAATTTGGCCTTACGTCGTAAGTGTTAAGGACGTAATTGGAGATGGGAACGACAGATTTTGTTGCGTAGTAGATTTTTGTTATGGAGATCAGGAGGAGTGGCGATTGGTTCGACATCATATCGCAAATGAGGTTGGTTCTCAACCTTAGTTGTACAGCATGATTTACTACGACATATGGGGTCAACAGGTTGGTTCAGGATTGCAGAGGGAGGTAGACCGGATCAGTTGGGATGGTGATGCGTGTGGACAGGAGCATTGAATGGTAGCACAGTAGAATTTTTTGCTATTGCCACAATATGGAATGTGGTAGTGATTTGTTATGGAGTAGGAAATAGACCATCGAGCTACTATCCATCTACCACTGTTTTACCGTTGAACAATCGTGGACGCTGAGACAGGCCTAGTGCAGAGTTCGTGATTGGAACTGTTGGTGGATCGCATTTCATTCGTTTGCATATGGATCCTGACCACCCACTTCCTCCAATTTCACCATTGTGGTTTAACGCTCGTCAGGCAAGTGTACACGGATGGGAGGCAAGGTACGAGAGAAGGCTTCAATTGTGGCAGACATTAGTTAGCTCTTGAGTACCGTTGAGTACTGTTATGGATTTTTTTATTAAACTTTATATAACTTTATTAATAAACATGATTATTTTTCAAATTTTTTTTAAGCAATTCTTTTTAAAATTTACTAAGTACTACGTAATTAGAAAATAAAATACTAATATATAAATGTCAACTTGATAATTCCCAACAAAAGTGATAAAACATAAATGTCCATTAACAACATCCAAAACATAGTCTAATAAAACAACAAACTCAAAGCTAAAATACATATTACAACTAATCTCTAAGTCCATTTATAGCATTCCAATCAGCAATCACCTACTCCAACATTGCTTTGGTGTCCATTGATAACGTAGGGTACTCACTAAGTGATCGCTGCGCCGTAACCATGAATTGCCCTACCCACTGCACAAACCATTATAATTGTGTATTAATAGTAATAATAGGAAAATAAAAAATTAAATTAAAAAAAACTTACGTAACCAACGTTGGTCCTCTCAGGAAGACCGACATCATCCTCAACATTAGGAGTGACGATAGGATGGCTAACTCTCCCAAACCATGGTAAGTAGTCAGGGGCTCAAGTATGTCCGCCACGTGGAACTCTAGTATATCCACCAAGCAGAAGACTGAACACAGCATCGGGGACAAATCTATCCGACATGAGAGTGGTCATTTGAGCTGAAAAACTGACCCTATAAGACTTCACAAGAGGTGGTCTCTGAGCATCATCAGGCCTAATCATGTGACTAGGAATCTCCTGTATAAACCCCAACTGTCGAACAACTCGATCGGGCATATATGGCTCTATGATGCCCCGATAGCAAATACATCCCGTAAACATACCTAGACACCTGTTGTGCAGGAAAAGCTCCGTACGGCAACAAGCATACCTGCAAATTAGTACAAGTGTAAATCAGCTGTAAATAAAAGGAACAAATAGTAATTACATATCTATTTATACCTCATGGTCACCCAACTGGTCAAGTCGAGTACGAAAGGACACGAGACGCTGTTGATGCTTCCACATCATACCAACATCCCATAACCCTGCACGAGCATGAGAGACGTCTCGTGTCAACACACCCTGGTGAGGCCGAAAACATGGAAAGTACTCGTACATCCAAGCCTGTAGAAGAGTCAGACAACCCGCGATAGAATCACATCCATTTCGGGTGGCATGCCCGAGTTGACGATACAAGTACGCTAGTGTGGCTGAACCCTAGGAGTATCTCGTCAACCTCTCCAAGTTATCCTCTATACACAACTCACTGAGAAAAGAAGGGTGAGTACGGGTACTGCTCTTGTCAGTAAAGAGCGTGTTACCCAAAAGGACCCGCATGTAACCAATGACCTGAATTGCCTCCAGCTGCTCCTCACTACGACACATAGCAATAATCTGGTCAGTATGGACGCCACCGTTCCTGTAGATGGCGTTCTGAGTCTTGACCTGTAGCTCCTCCGGAGTCAAATGTAACAACCCAGCTACCAATGTCCTTTACTGGTCACTAGGGAGCCGGCAACCAATCCCCATCAACCCGAATACCAAGTATGTGGTGTACGTCGTGCAACATGATGGTCATCTCACCAAAAGGTAGGTGGAATGTGATCGTGTCTGGCTGCCATCTCTCAACAAAAGCAGAAATCAGCGGAAAATCAAGGTGGTCGTGCATAATGCTAGGCAGGTGCGACAACCCAGTCTGCCGTATCCGCGTAGTAGTGGCAGCCGTAAATCGCTCTAGCCAGTCAGTCAAGTCTCTACATACACCAGCTCTAGTATGACACCGCAAAAACCGTCGATCTTCCCCATCCCAAATATACCGAGCAACATGGGCCCCGAAACTAGGAATAATGCTCCCATCCTCGAGCCCACCGTCCATCGGCCCTTGAACAAGCCAAGACGCTGGAGATCGAGGTGGTCGGGAACTCGTAAATCTCCCATCAGGACCTCTTGTCACGACAGGAGGCTGCTCCTCAGCATCAGCCTCACCCTCATCTTCATCATCCTCAGGTCCATCATCCTCGTACCTCGAACCCGAACCCGAACTCGAACCGGAGTCCCATAATCATCCACTACCCTGTCGCGCTCCGGTATTGAACTACCTTCCCGTATACTAATCCCCCTATCTCTACTAATTGACGCGTTAATACCGCGTGATCTAGCATGCCGTGAACCAGAACCCTCAACTACATTCTAAATTTAAAATAAATTATAATATTAATAATAAAAACAAAATAGGTGATGCAAACAAAAGAAAACCTATAATGTGTTCTATGTATCATTCTAATAAAAAATTACGAGTATTAAACAATAATAATAAACAACAACAACAATAATAATAAAAAGCAACAACAATAATAATAAACATTTAGAGTAGCCAAAATTGCAAACTTAAAACTAAAAGATTCTAAAAACATGCAGTAAGCAGGGGATCAATGAAATAAACATTTTACAAACAATATACTCATAATTAGAATACTACTACGTACAAAAATTAACCATATTTGATGTTTGTCGTCCTCCGGTATGACTTTTACTTAATCAAGAAACTCAAATTTTTAACTTTTTTGGAAACCATTTTCAACACTTGTATAAATATATGTAGGAACAGTATTTTTTTGGCACTCTTTTCGTGAATTCATCTTTCTTTCATTTTCTTTACAGCTTTACTAGAAGGAATCTAAGCAAGAGCTTTGGTTTTTAACTGCTGACAACAACACAAGAAATATCCCCTAAGTTAATACAACATAAACCCCAAATGAAAAAAATAAAAATAAATCGGCTAGCAGTTCTTCCTTCAACGAGATGAAATTGAAGGGGGAAAAAACAAATCAGCCTAGATGAAATCGAATAACCGTAGGATAAGATGAACTTCATACGAATTTTTTTTTTTTTTAAAAAAGGGCAGAAACGCCCAATTTTTTCGTCAGATCTAGGCTGAAATGCCTAGATTTTTCGAATAACCGTATGGGTGATCGAAATTTCTAGGCGTTTCAGCCCAGATCTAGCGAAAAAATTAGGCGTTTTCTCCAATTCCAGAAAAAAATAAATAAATAACTAACCTTGTCTCCAGCGACTCCTTCAATTCGACGACGACCTTCCCCTTGTCCTTCCTCGTCATTTTCGCGGCCTACTGTGTAGATTGAGAAACCGGAGGTAAAAGGAGGTGGTGGTGGGTTGTTAAAAGAGAAGGTGGTGGTAGTGGTGGGTGGTAAAAGGACGTGGTGGTGGTATTGGTGTAGAGAGAGAATTGTTTTTAAGAGAAAGAAGAGGGAGTGAGGGTTTTTGGAGGTAAATTGTGTTTGGGGGGGAGGGGTAAATTCTTTTGTTTTATGTAAGAGTAAATTTGGAAAAAAATATTTTATTTGCGGGCTGGAGATTCGAGGGCGATATATATATATGTGTGTGTGTGCGCGTGTGTGTGTGTATATATATATACATGTATATATATATATGTGTGTGTGTGTGTATATACACACACATATATATATGTATATATACATATATGTATATATATATATATATATATATATATATATGTATATATACATATATATATATGTATATATACATACATATATATATATATATATATATATATATGTATGTATGTATGTATGTATGTATGTATGTATGTATGTATGTATGTATGTATGTATGTATGTATGTATGTATGTATGTATGTATACAGACATATTACAACCGTTGGATCAATTGCATCCAATGGCTACAATTTATCCCAATCAAATGTAATTTCAAATACAATTTTCCAGCGTTTTCTTTCTACTCCTTCATTCGACGCGCCATTTTTCTCTCTCTTCCTTCAATTTCTCTGCTCCCTTCTTACTGCTCTTTTCCTTTGCTTTGATTCTTCATCAATTCTGCTTCGAACTTCATTAATTCTTGGTCAAGGTAATTTTCGTTGATTTTAGTTTGATTTTCGTTGATGTTAGTTTGATTTTCGTTGATTAAAGTTTGATTTTCGTTGATTAAAGTTTGATTTTCGTTGATTTTAGTTTGATTATTGAAGGTTTTTGTCAATTTTTTTGCGATTTTTGGTGATTTTTGGTTCAATTTCCGTTTGATTTTTTTCCTGGTGATTTCTATTCGATTTCTATTTGAGTACTTATTAGTAGATTTCTAGGTGTTATAGAGATTGATTTTGTCAATTTTGGTACTTGTATTTCACTAATTTGTGCTTAAATTTTGATGCACACTAAGTGTTTGACAATATTCCCCAATGAATCCTATTATTTTATCAATTTCAAATGTAGTACATATTTAATTGATGATCTTCTTATTTAATATTCCCCAAGATTGTATTGAGTCTCGGCTTCTAGTTTCTAGGTGTTGTGACATTTTCAGCATCAATTTCTACGGTTGTATTGATTGTGGGTTGTCTTACATGTGTCTTTAAGTTTTGTTTCCTATTGATGTATGAGGCTTGTTGTCCTCATGGTGTCTTTGAACACTGGTTGGTTTGGGTGTTTTAGGATTTTTACTCTATTTTTCTTGCTATATGATATTTGACCTTTGATCTCTGGTTCAATATATGATCAAATGGATATCAGTTATTAAATAGACAAAGGTCTCCTGTTAGTGAACTGCCTTGCAGCAGCTTAAGCTAAATTGCAGTATAATTTCAATTCCCATTTTCAAATCTGAATTAATAGAATGTTCTTTAATTGTCGAGATTTAAAACTTGTGCCTAATACCTCTCTGTCTAGTCACTCATATAGTCATGTATGTCAACATGTCTTTATCTTTTGACACTCAGTGGGCGCTTCAACATCTTCAATTAAAGAAGCTGAGAGTGATGTCCTCAAAGCATTGTCTCAAATCATAGATCCAGACTTTGGAACCGATATTGTTTCTTGTGGCTTTGTGAAGGATCTACAAATTGATGAAACATCAGGAGAGGTCATCTAAATAATATTGTGCTCTTGTATCTTTGTAATTTATCATTATTCTCTGAGCTCCGAACCTCTGATTTCAGGTGTCATTTCGCTTGGAGCTTACAACCCCAGCGTGTCCAGTCAAGGACATGTAAATTAATTCCAAGTTACAAATTTTATTATTGCTGATGTATGTTCTAGTGTCATATTTTTTCCTTGGAGCATTTTTGTAGATGTTTGATATGTCATGTAGAACTATCATAATTTATTGCCTTAATTCTATACAGTATACACTGACCTCTAACTGACTTAATACCGCCTATTGCCTTGTACTGTGTATTTGGGCTTCAATCATTATGCATTAATATGGGGTATATAATTGTTGTGTTTTTGCAGTTTGAGTAGAAAGCAAATGAGGTGGTGGCAGCACTTTCCTGGGTTAGAAAAGTGAATGTCACGATGTCTGCCCAACCTGCTAAACCAGTTTTTGGGGGAGATCTTCCAAAGGGCTTGCAGACAATTTCAAACATTGTGGCTGAACCACTCAGGAAAAACAATAAGCGAACATCGACTTTGAAGTTCCTATACCTTCTGAACAGCAGAATTATCTGTTTTATTTTAAGTAAAATTTGGTTAGTTGTTAGGAATGAATGTAAGAATATTGATATTAGGAAACACATTTTATATTGATGAAATGTGCAAATAATTTTTGCTCATTTATCAAATGAGCATTAAATAATTTTTTGTTCATTTGTCAAATGAGCAAATAATTTTTTGCTCATTTATCAAATGAGCAAAAATGTGCAAATAATTTTTGCTCATTTATCAAATGAGCAAAAAAATTCAATGCTCTTTTGTCAAATGAGCAAACTATTTAATGCTCATTTGTCAAATGAGCAAATGGTTCTTGCTCATTTTGTCAAATTAATGCTCATTTGTGAGTGTGTTTGAATGTTTTAAATGCGTTAGCCTACTAGCTCAATGGTAGTGTATTGTGCAAATGCACAAAAGATGTGGGTTCGAATCCCACGTAGGTTCATTTATGTAATCTGGAGACACAAGTTTGTAGTGTGAGCAAAGAAATGAGCAAACTACACTCAATTGGTCTAGAAACTTAGAAACCTAAAAGGGGTATATTTGGGGATATTAGAGAAAAATAATGGGTGGTTTTGAGAATTTGAGGAAGATTTTAAATTGATATGCCATGTTTAAACATTACAATTTCAGTTGCATATCCCCTGTTACAAGATTGGTGTTCTTACTCATATTCCTCAGATTATATAATTGGCGTCCCGCATGATTAATTAGTTCTTCTTGCGTATTGTGTGTTGATGAATATTGATCATCAATTCATTATAGCTTAGCAAAAGAAACATGGTGATATTTTTTTTTTGTACAGAATATGTGCACAAGAAGAATATAGAGGCGTTACGCTTATATATAAATAGTCCCTCAAACTTCAGTCCATCATGGTTGCTGCAAGATTTGAGGCTCATGTAAAGGAATTAGTAGATAATGTGAAAAGTACTTCACTTGAAACTGTAAGAGAAGCTACTTCAGAGCTCAGGATTTTAGCCAAGGACTTGGATAACCAAATCATAATAGCGAGTTGTGGAGCTATCCACCCTTTGGTTATCCTCCTTCGTAGTTCAGACATGAATACTCAAGAAAACGCAGTCACTGCTGTTCTGAACTTGTCTATTAGTAACAACAATAAGGTTAACATTATGAAAGCTGAGTCAATTGAGCCTCTGATCCATGTCCTTCAGACGAGGACTCCTGAGGCCCGAGAAAATGCTGCTGCAACTCTGTATAGTTTATCTGTATTTGAAGAGAATAAGATTAGGATAGGGAATTCAGGAGCTATTGATGCATTGGTGGAGTTGTTAGGGAATGGAACACCCCGTGGTAGGAAGGATGTGGCCACTGCTTTCTTATACTTGTCTACACATACTGATAATCGGCACCTTTAGTTATCTTGTCCATGTCCGGAACCTCAAGAACCAAAGAAAAGGTATGGTACAGTACAACTTTTGTTATCGGTTATTACTCCTTCCATCCCAAAACGAACATCCCACTTTTCATTTTGGGGTGTTTCAAAAAAAAAAAAAAAAGCCTTCCCAACAATGATAATTTGACCAAATAACTCAAATGGCCCCTATTAAATTTAAATGGGAAGAGTAAGAGATCCAATGTTTGATCATCATTTATCGAGTGTTTTTTTTCTTACCCTTTTTGCTGTATTGCAGGCTAATAGGGTTCTTCAGCATTTGAGAAACCTACAAGCAGCTTATAATGCCAGGGCAGGCAGATTGTATACCTGAAATACTGCAAATGTCATCTGTGATAACTTCTATTTGTGAATTAGTTGAGGGATACATACATATTAATTTACTTCTTCTGAGTGGTTTAATCTTCTATGGATATATATAAAGAAAAAGTATAGAACAAAGCATAGTTGAGCAGAAAAGGAGAGATGATCAAGTTTTTTTTAAAGGTTTTTTTTATATAGTTATTTATAAATACAGCCTATGTAGGATTCGAACCTACGTCATTATTTATGTAAAGTGGAGACACAAGTTTGTATGAGAGTTTAATTGTAACAAAGTTTATATAGTTATAAATCATTTCAAACCAGTTTTTTGCTCATATAATTTAGAACGAATTTGATTTTTTTTTTTAATTAATTTGTTTATAGAGATAACTTATGTAGGAATTGAACCTACATCCTCTATGCATTTGCATAATGCTCTATCAATTAATCTAATAGGTTTTATCATATGTTTTAAATCATTTTCTATGTTATAATTTTTTAATCAGTTCATTTGATAAATCAACAAAGAACTGTTTGCTCATTTGATAAAATGAACAAAGAATTGTTTCTCATTTGATAAATGAGCAAAGATTTGTTTGCTCGTCTGATAAATGAGCAAATAATTATGTGCTCATTTGATAAATGAGCAAATAATTGCTTGCTCATTTGACAAATGAGCAAGATTTTTTTGCTCATCAGATAAATGAGCAAGAATCATTTGCTCATTTGACAAAATGAGCAAAGAATAATTTGCTCATTGGAAAAATGAGCAAATAATTGCTTGCTCATTTGACATCATATACAAGCCAAATAAGACAATCTCTTATAAGAAAATCTTGTAATACTTGAGGGCTAAATAATAAGACAAATATTATGCACCAATTTATTCCTTGCTTTTGCTTATTTGTACAGACAACCAAGAATTAGTTTGATCATTTGACCAAAGCTCTTATCTTAGACCACAACTCCACCCTCACCTTACACCACAACTCCACCCTCACCTTACCCAATTACACGCACAACTCCTCCAAAGCTCTTATCTTACACCACAACTCCATCCTCACCTTACCCAATCACACACACAACAACAGCAATATCACCACAGCAGGCCACACATCCTAATATTTGCGCCACCAACCATGCCCTGCTACCAGCAATTTTGCAGCCATCGTTCCCAGCCAACACTAAGCTGCTGCTACAGTCCTCACAGCCACGCCACACATTGCAACACACTAATTGCTCGTCTGATAAATGAGCAAAGAATTATGCGCTCATTTGATAAATGAGCAAAGAATTATGCACTCATTTGATAAATGAGCAAAGAATTGTTTGCTCATTTTGTATATGGAGAATGAATTTTTGCTCATTTGACAAAATAAACAAAGAATTGTTGCTCATTTATCAAATGAGCAAAGAATTGTTTGCTCGTTTGATAAATGAACAAAGAATTGTTTGCTCGTTTGATAAATGTAAAAAGAATCGTTTGCTCGTTTGATAAATGAACAAAGAATTGTTTGCTCATTTTGACAAAATGAACAAAGAATTGTTTCTCATTTGATAAATGAACAAAGAATTGTTTGCTCATTCTATAAATGAGGAAAGTATTATTTGCTCATTTGATAGATGAGCAAAGAATTGTTTGCTCATATGATAAATACCAAGATTATCATCTGTTCGAATATCACCAACTAAGACGTTAACCCAACTACCCCCGCCTGCCACACCAATCTGACTACCCCTAATAACAAAGGGCAGTTCATTTTCTGCATCAAAAGTATCCGAAGTATTACCTACGAACTCATTCAAAACAAACTCATTGATAGTAGAGGACCAAGTCACAAGATTTCTAACAAGCATTTTATCAAACACCTTGTATGCACTATCAGGATATTCAAAACAAACAAATTGCAAGTCACTAATTTTAAACAAAATCTTATTGGAAAATAAAAATTGTAAATAACAAAGACAGTTAATCAAGACAATTCAAGCATATATAAACACAGCCAATGCTAACAAAGAAGTGGACATTGCTAACCAATGGAACAAAAGGGCAAATAAGAGGTCAGACCTTGCAGGATAAGAGCTTGATACAACATCCATTAGGCTCTTCTTCGACACAAATAAGCAAAACTGGGCAAACCTCGAAAGAAAAGAATTTAAACCTGTAGACATAGCACGTAAATGTACTATCATCCACTCTCTCTATCCTTTTTGCACCCAACATTGAGTACTAACTTGCTGGCAAGCTCATATACTCCACTACTCTAGCACAAGCAATTAGTTGATTTGAATTTATCAAAATTCGAACAAGTTGATTTGAATTCATCAAAATTAGAACGAGATGATTTGAAATCATCAAAATTACAAAAATCAGAACAAGAAGATTGGGAATTCAATTGAAATTATCAAAATTAAAATTAAATTAAGAAAAATATGAAGAGTACTAATTGAAATTATGTAGCAGTGAACAAGAAGAGAGAGAAATTGTTGATCTTCAGTTGTCTTATTGTCTCCATTGAAATCCCACCTTCAAGTTTTGTAGAAAGAGAAAGAGGAGTATACAAATTATATGTAATTGGGGCTGATGTTTTTGTTTTTAAAATTACATTATTGCCATTACTAGTTGAACAATCTCAGCAGTTGGATCTTATAGTATCTAATGGCTGTGATGAGTTCTCATATATAATAGTGTTCTCACATAAAGGGTGGTTCTCACAGGATCCCGACCTTATATATATATATATATATATATATATATATTGTTTTTCTTAATTATACATTTATACATCATTAAAGATAGTCAAAGTATTATTCCGTAACATATACAACTAGGGCTAAAGTTAAAGTGTTGCAAGTAAAATAAATAAATAAATAAATCGGAGTAGTATTCAATAATCTCTAAGATTATGAAAAGCATCATTTTGAGATTTTTTTCCCTTCCAATTTTTACAGAAGATAAATATTTTGAAATAAATTACTTCTATAACATTATAGGTATGTTATATGCCGTAATAAGAAGAAATTTAAACTTTCCTAAAAAAAGAAAAAAAAAAGAAAAAGAAGAAATTCAAACTTATATGCATATTAAATGCTAATTTCTCTAGACCTAACCTATAAATACTGGAAAACCCTAGCATCTCCTCTCTATTTTTTCTTTCTAGGGTTCTTAAAAAAAAGTGTTTCATAGACCAGAAATAGTCAAATTTCTCCTGAAATATTTCCGACCCTTTCCCTTTAGTTTATTTACGTTTTTGTTATTGAATTCAATAAATCTACACTCTTTGAAAGTAGTAAGTACCCTATAGTGGGTTTGGGTGTAAAAAGTGCCCCTTTGGTGGGCTTTGTTCTAGTTTTGTTTTTGTTTTTGTATTTTTAGTTTAGTATGGTACAAGTTATTTCATGGGTAAAGATTTGTGCGAGATCGAAAAAGAGATTAATCCTTCGATTACAATAAGATGAATAATTTCTTCACGACTACAACAGATCGATAGACCTCCTCATCGAAAAAAGCTATAAATCACAGCGATATAAAAGAGGGTATAAAGAATGTACGATTTGCAACAATGATCGTAGCTCTGCTGAAAGGAAGCTTTTATTTGATTCAATTGTCATGTATTTATTAAATTCAAATCTCTTTTTAGATGTCGTATGACTTTTTATTTATGAATCAATATTCATTCAAAAAAAAAAAAACCTATAAATATTGTAGTAAAATATTTTTTTTCTTTTTTTTTTTCCCCTGCATTCTTTAAACAAAAATAAGTAACAAATATAAGCTTTTGCGCTCGTTAGCTTTAGCCTAAATATAAATAGGTAGAAACTATCTGTAGATTGCATGACTATTGTTTATTTGAATGATTATGTGATGTGGATGTGAAGGTGTCTTTAATAATTAGTCGGGTTGATCTCTCTTTAATTATTGGTTTTGGTTTATTTTGTATGTTAAAATGACAACTGATGTACTTAATGGGTTAATTAGTACTAGTATTTTATCGTGAAAATTTTAATATACAGGCATCTGTACCATGCTTGGTACAGACAAAAAACGCGGAAACATGTAGCTATTTTGTAAAGAACATATAGCTGTTTTGTAAGGAACATCCAACTTTTTTTTTATATCTAATAAAGAATAGTAATTTTAATAAAGAACATGATAATATTATGTAATGAACATTATTTATATATAACCAGTTAACCACCATAATTTAAATACAAAATTCAAGGAAAAATTGAAAAATACCCCCAACAATTAAACCCATTTTTTGCAAACACTACTAGAAAACAGTCAATCAACGACGGAAAAAATCCGTCGGAAAACCCTGAAATTCCGTCGGAAATGCCCATTTCCGACGCAATTCCGTCGGAAAGCGTTGTCGGAAGACCCTTTGTAGGTATTTTGCGATATTCCGTCGGAAAGGTCGATTCCGACGGAATTTGTTCTGTCGGCGCTTTTGTTGACTTTCAGTGTAAATCCGTCGCAAGGTTCTGACGGAATTTTCCTTCGGAGTGGGGTATTTTCCGACGAAAAATTTCGTCGGTGGGGTAGATGGTCCGACAGAATATTTCGTCGGAGGCAGTATTTTTCGATGGAAAATTCCGTCGGAAAAAAAATAAAAAAAAGCCCCACCCTACCCCCACCACCAGCCCACCCCCTGCCCC